TATGTATAGTAGTAAAAGTAGTAGGGGGAGAGAGAGAGAGAGAGAGAGAGAGGAGGAGGAGAGAGAGAGAGAGAGAGAGCTGAGTATGCATTCTTACTGCAGGTGTAATGTGATGCCAGTGATGAAAATTTATTTAGGTACAGTGGACAAATATGTCACAGAACAATTTCTACAAGACAACAACTGCCTCTGTTTGTTGTACACACACACACACACACACACACACACACAATACTACTACTACTACCATTACTAACACACACAGTTCTTATGGTTAAGTTTGTTTAATCTGGGGCCCTATTATGTCTGGGGCCCCATAGGTCTGGGGCCCTATTAGGTCTGGGGCCCCATTAAGTCTGGGGCCCCATTAAGTCTGCACCATTATGTCTGGGGCACTGATTATGTCTGGGTAAACATGTCTAAGGCACCATTTACGTCTTGGGGGCACCATTATGTCTGGGGTACCATTGTCTGGGGCACCATTATGTCTGGGGCCCCATTATGTCTGGGGCCCCATTAGGTCTGGGGCCCCATTAAGTCTGGTCACCATTATGTCTGGGGCACCATTATGTCTGGGGCACCATTATGTCTGGGGCACCATTATGTCTGACGCACCATTATGTCTGGGGCCCCATTATGTCTGGGGCCCATTTGAGATCCATACCTCACATGCTATCTACTGAGAACAAAAAATAATGGTATACATGACAAGAAAAACACGTCTTATAATATAGCAAATTTGGGAATATATCTTGAAACAAAATCCGTATATAGCGGAGGAAATTTCTTCTTGGTAAACATTCCCTGAGTTAAAATTTGTTTCGTTCTTTGAGTTTTAAAAAAAAATTGTGCAGCTGTCTGTAAAAAATATATGTATGTAGCGTTAAAAAAATCCCCTCTTTTCTTCCCACTCTCCTCACTACCACTGCCCCCTCCTCACGCCCCATCATTCTCACTTCCTCCCCACTCCTCACGCCCCACCATCCTCACTTCCTCCTCACACCCCACCATTCTCACTTCCTCCCCACTCCTCACACCCCACCATCCTCACCCCCACCCCTCACCCCTTTGCAGATGAGAGAAGTTATTTAAATGGTGTCCAAATAGCGTTGAGACTTTACCTTACATAGAAAACTGATCCCTTTCTTAATTACAACAGGACGTCTTATTGTTTTTTGTTGTTATTACGTCACACCATTAATACAATCTATTCAGCACTCCTAAACAGTGTTACCAATGCCTTAGCCTGTCACAAGACGATGAATTATCACAATGACTCTGGTGTTTTATGTTGGTAATGATGACGCAGCGGAGATAAAAATGAATGAATTTGTTTAAAAGACACGATGGAGGAGATGGGGGAGGTGATGAAGGAGGGAAACAGAGAGAGAGAGAGAGAGAGAGAGAGAGAGAGAGATGACTTAAAGAGATACAGAGAGAATGATAGGACACACACACACACACACACACACACACACACACACACACACACACCAAGGTCACCAACATTCAGTACAAGACCAACAGAAAGATTTCCTCTGCCATCATAGACCACACTGTCTTGTTCATCACCAGGAGAACAATTGTGTGTGCTGGTCAAGTGTGTGTAGTGTGGATGTGGGTGTGGCTTAGGGTGTGGCTAGGTGTGTGTAGTGTATTGTGGGTGTGGCTGGGTGTGTGAAGTGTATATGTGAGTGTGGTTTTGGGTCTGACTTGGGGTATGGTCATGTATGTGTAAAATATACTCTAAAATATAGCCACATTATATATCACCACTATTAATTATTATTATCACTGTTTTACGATATTTTACTACTTCTGCTACTACTCCTGCTTCTACTTCTGCTGCCTCCTTCTGCTTCTACTTCTTTTGTTGCTTTTTACGATTCTGTGACCTCCTCTTAAACACCTCAGCTACATACCATCACATCTTCACTCTGAGGAAAAAACAGATTATCGAGAAAATGTTTTAGTCTCGTGGGCATTTTCGTCTTGTTTACATTCTTCGACATGACGGCGTCTGAGTCCTGCCGAGTAACACCATTGAATACTATTATCTTCATCTGTCTCTTGTAAGTAGCGTTAAACACCCTTATCCATGCTTGATTCTCCTCTTAATGTTATCCAATCCGATTATCCACATTTAACGACTCTAATGAGGGATACGAATCTCTTAAACCGACGAATTTTATTTAATGGAAGTATCTGGGATTTTAGTTTAGGCTCGTAATGCAGAAGTAGATGAGAGGACGTCATAAATACCGGTCACGGAAACTATTATTTTATCTAAGTATAGCCATTATCCCCCACAATCATCAAAGTCATTAATCTTAAAAATAACCCTTGTGTTCATCGTAGTTTTAATTTAGCTGTTCTCTCGTAAACTGGAGATAGGTCGTAATTAGTAGGTGTTAACGACTGGTTATGTATCAGCGACAACAAGGTAAGGTTTGAAGGTTGAACTGCCACACTAAGTACAGGTTGTATTTTATCTCTCAAAGTCTAGATTCACAAAGATTCTTACGATAATCTTATATTCTGTCATAAGTTTACTACTCTGTGTTTAGTGATGATAGAGACTCGTTAGTGTTGGTCACGTGATGTGGGTTTAGCCAGTTAGGGATGTCTCTGATTGGCTAGTTGAATCTATGAGTAGAACAAAAGCCGATTGGTCGGTTCTAACGTAACAACTTCCTCATGAATATCAACGATGAGCTCAATGATATATGGTTCTGTCAGCTGGACCGACCAAGAATGTGTATGGTGTTGGGTAGTTGTATCGGTTACCTGCTACCACCATCACTACTACCACAACCACTACTACCACAACCACCACTACTACTACTTCTACTGCTGCCACCACTACTACTAACACCACACTACCACCATTCACTACTACTACTTCTACTACTACTGATACTGAATAATAATAAATAATAATAATAATAATAATAATAATAATAATAATAATAATAATAATAATAATAATAATAATAATAATAATAATAATAATAATAATAATAATAATAATAATAATAATAATAATAATAATAATAATACATTTTTAAGTGGTATAATTGTGTAATAAAGTCTACGGGAATGACGCCCTCAATTTCAACAATAAATAATGAACGATATATTTCAGTCTAAATTAAATCAGAATAAACATTAAAAAAACAACAACATTATAACACAAAACAATCAAAGTAAATTGATGTTTATTTTCACAATGTTCCCTTACCTGTATGAACCTTAATTACAGGTGTTGTGGAGTGACCAGGTAATTGATGTAATGCTCCTATGGTTTTTGGTATTGTTAAGCATTTCGTAATTTCTGTAGTTTGTGAATTACTGTAGTCCTATTTAATATTGTCTGAATAAGTAGACATAGAATACAGTGATGCAAGCGGTGATAAGGGAGGCAGTGACAGAGGTGAGTGGCTGACAGTGACAGTGATAAAGGAGACATTATCAGCGGCAGTAGACAGTGACAATGACAACGGCAGAAAAGACAGTATTTGGCACAGTGAGAGAGACAGTGACAGATTGGCCAGTAGCAGGATCACTGACGGCAACAATACCAGGAAGGCGGTGAAGGCAGACAGTGACAGGTGTGGTGGGAGACGTGAGGTACATACAGACAGGTAATTAAGGCAGCTGGTGTTAATTAGTACAGGTAAAGGTGTAGTGTACTGCCTTCTACACCTTGGTGGTCCAGCACTTCATTGACGCTTCCCGGAGATGTGTGTTGTGTTGTAGTGTGGTGTGTTGTAGTGTGGTGTGTTGTAGTAGAGTGGTGTTATGTTGTGTTATAGTGTGTTGTGTGGTGTTGTATTGTGCTATATTGTGTTGTGTTGTGTTGTGCTGTATATCTTTATTTAACGTAGATTCTCCTCAGAACAGTTACGACTAATCATTTCATCTTAAATTATTTAACGTAGATTCTCCTCAGAACAGTTACGACTAATCATTTCATCTTAAATGAGTTGCATTAATTCTCGTACGATCTCACCTCACCAGAAATAAACATAACATTCTTTCCGTCATCCGGGAGCGTCACCTAACCTGTAGATCAGTGGAAAGTGGTGATGATGGTGAAGAGGTTGTGTTCAGGTGGGTGGGAGGGAAGTGGGCGGTCAAGGAAGGTGGGCAGGCAGGTGGGTGGGAGGGAAGTGGGCGGTCAAGGAAGGTGGGCAGGCAGGTGGGTGGGGAGGAAGGGATGAACGCACACAAGCTACTCACTATTCATCTCACATCACAGACCTCGCTAGTACTGTTCGCTGTAGTAATGGATGACGTTACCAATTTGTTAACTAATTATCAAGGCAACGCTGACAAGGACACTGTTCTTCTCTCTCTCTCTCTCTCTCTCTCTCTCTCTCTCTCGTTATTATCGTTTTTATTGTTAACTGCGAAGATGTGGTTCTCTGCCTGTGTGGGTGTTAAATTTTGGATAAATTTGTAATGTAAATATATCAATTATCATCATTAATTATCAAACTTGATACTCTAGGACACTATAAGGACCATTAATTATATAAAATATATATTAAGTGTAAATACCATCTGATATAAAACTGTTGTTTACATTGACGTAGATGAGTCGAACATTTCTGTAAGTTATCGTATGTTAATAATAATGATAATAGTTATGATAACCATAACTTTATATCAGCTTTACAGTATATACGAACAAATAAACTATCGTATATTGTCCAAATATCGCAAAGGATATAGTGTTGTTTATCCTCGCGTATAGACACACTGCACGACAACAATAACCACAATAATTAATTATAAGAATACATATTTATGTCCCATCACGTGTTGGCAAGACGACCGTGTGAGCTGCCAGGTGTATGATGTTGAATTAAAATGGAGGAATGAGATGGTCTGGAATCACATAGGTGTGTGTGTGTGTGTGTGTGTCATGGAGGACGTATATTATTCAGTACAAGTTAGGGAGGTGACCTTGTCTAATCTCACCTCCGTTCTTACAGATGGTGTTGCTGGCGAGCAGTCAGAGCCGCGCGTTGCCGCTGAGGGCTCATGGCGGGGTCATCTTCGGCAGCGACTTCCTCCGCATCCTGGACCCCCGCGCACGACCCCCGGCCCACAACGACCCTTCTGACATGCTACGAGCAGCAACGACCAGCATCAGGACGCAGCAGCGACCACCAGGAGGCCGTCACGCCTTCAGGGACGATACCGCCACCTTCCTCGAGACTCCCGACACCCGGGGGACGCACGAGGCCTCCAAGTTGAGTTCTCGTAACTTACGGAAACTCGACCCTGTCGTATCTTCTTCCTCTTCTTCTTCTTCCTCACAATTTACTTCCTCTTCCTCCTCGTCTTTCTCTTCCTCTTCTTCACCATCAAAAGAGAATGTATCTCAACACATAGATTCAGTAACAGTTAAACCTCACGCCAGGAGGCTGCCCCAGACAGCAGCAGCTTCCAATTATCTTATACCTGACGGGAAGTTCACCACGCCGAGGAGTAACAGTGTCAAGCCCACCATCAGCCCAGCCAACACCCTCACCTCCTCCCACCGTGACAACAGCGACCCCCTCAGACCTGCTACTTCACCCGCCGCCACGAACCGACCTGAAAATACCTTCAACTTACCCTACGATGATTACGACTACAACTACTACTATTACCTGGACGACCTGTATCCTCTCACCAGCTCAGGTCCAGAAGAGACTGTTAGAGCAACCAGCAACACGGAAGACACAACAAAACCGTCTGGTCTGAGGTTTACGGAAGCCATCCCACGTGTTGGGTCATCTACAAGAGTTACCCAAAGTGCGTCTACCGCGACCTCTGCGCTTTCTGCGTCTTCCTCACAGAGTCATGGAGTGGAGGCAAGGCAGACGACCTCCGCCACACCAACACTCTCTCCCGCCATCGCTAAGATTGACTCAACAGCCACAATCGCACCACAAAGAACGTCCGTCGTGTCCACCACAACTAAAAGACCTACAACGAAGAGGTCGACTTATAGATATCGCAGCACGACAGAGACGACACCAGGAGACAAAACGTCACTAGACAACCCTTCAGCAACGACCTCCAGACCGACGGTAGACCCTGACAATACAAGACGAACCACGGCGACAGAGAGACCTTCCGAGTCTCTCTCCACCAACCAGGAGGCGCCAAGGACCACCACCACTACTACGAAGAAACCCACAGAGTCGTATCCAACACCAAAGCCGAGGACGTCAGTGACTGTTAAGACCTCAGCAAGATCATCACCACCTCTCACCACACAAACACCACCGACTGTCGACACCAAGACGACGGCTCCGGTCATCACCAAGCCTTCAGCGGTCATCACAAGTGAGTTGCCAGAGCCAGAGGATCAGAGGCCTAAGGGTACAGGAGGTGGTTCGCCCCGACATTTTCGTTACACTACACCAATACCGAAGGAAGATTCTGTAGTGAGTGTCGACAGGACCCAGGACCCGTCAGCCCAACAAGACAACACGCCGAAGAAGAGCCTCGGGAGCACCTCATCCTCGTCAGTAGTGGTGGAGGTGCGTGTTGAGTCTCCCCACCGAGAGCCGCGCTTGATGACGGCTGCTGAAGCTACTCCACTTGTCCAGACCGTCACGGGAGGACCCAGCAAGGCGACACCAGCGCCCACCAAAACAGTACACACTGTCCACCCAGACCATCACACCTCCAGCTTCCTCCTCAGTGATCCTCTGATGGTGGATGTTGTCGCTGAACCAACAACCAGCGACCAGAACCCTCAAGTACCTCTGCCCCGTCGTCCTCCACCTGTGGCCACAGCCGAGAAAACCACTACAACCACAACTCCTCCTCCAACTACTACTACAACCACTACTACCACTACTCCTACTACCACTACTACCACAGAGGCAGCCACTTCACCATCACCACCACAACAACAAGCACAACTGGATGAAGCAGAAAGACTTACAACAAATAAAGTTGATAAACTTGGGGCCAACAGAGGAGGGAACAGCGAGGTGCAGTTCGAGACTTCTGTGGTCGAGGTGTCTGGCTCGGTAGGTTCAGACTCACAGCTTGACACTAAAGACACAACACCAACAACTCGACTACGAGGTTCTCCTGCGAGTCTCTCTCGGGACAGAGGGACCCCACAGGCCCAGCTCACAGGTCCAGGGGAACAGTTCCAGACTCAGCGTGTGAGCACGTCAGTGTCGCGGACAGAGGCGCGCACTGCTGAACGAGTGTCCAGTATTAAGATCTACGAGCGTCTGCCACAACCAACCTCCTCCTCCACCACACCTCCCCCTTCCACCACACCTCCCTCCACCACACCTCCTCCCTCCATCACCACGCAGGACATCGTCGCCGTCAACGCCACCAGTAACAGCTCACGACTTAGAATACGACTACCGTTCATGAGGACCCCTAGAGCTCAGCAGGGTCTGGCGCCGCTGGGCCTGGCACCCTTCGGTCAGTCTCCAGAAGGTCTAAGACCTTTTGGCGAGTCTCCGGCGGGCATGGCGCCCCACGGTGTAGTGCCAGGGGGCCTCCACCCCCACGGGCTGTCTCCTCAAGGCTATGGAAGAGGAGCCAAATTGCCCAGCCAAAATAAGACGGCCATCAACACCACCGCCACCCAGGACAACGGTACCGGCCTGACCTTCGTGGACGCGACGGTAGTGGAGGGAGGCGCAGACGCCAACAGCACCGTCGGATACGTGGTTGAGGAGCCCAACGTGAGACGTAGCAGGCTGGAGGAGAAGACTCCAGACGGGTTCATCATCGGGGAGTACCGCGTGGTGGATCACAGCACCGGCGACGTGAACGGTGTCCGATACACTGCTGACGGCACCGCCGACCCTCACCTCATCTACGAGACTCTCATGAAGTTCCTGGAGTTGTAAGGTAACAAGTAACAGGTGCTCCTGGCCCGCCCGCTTGTTCTTATACCTGACACCACACCCTCGCCTCCCACCACCCTCCGCACAGACACACCTGCAATATCACACACCGTTAATCAACACTCACACACCTGCTGAACCCAAAAGTATTCGCGCATTAAAAAAAATCCGCCAGAGTTGCCCCAAGACACCTCACCACTCACTCACCTCCTATATAATGAACCTTTACGCTCTATATCTTATTCTATATTAATTTATATCCTTAAAAAATAACAAAAAGATAATATTGGAATTATACGTCATAAAAAATATAAACTTTCAAAATATTTTGACAATCTGCGGCATTTAATAGAATATATGAGTGAATTAGGAGGGGTTGGTGGTGGGGCGGCGGGAGGGAGGAGGTGGCGCTGTGTGTGGGAGTCACCTGAGTGTGTGTGTACGTGTAGCATCGGTTGTCGCTATTTATTTGAACGGTATTTATGAGTCAACTCATTTTTCCCCTCCACTAGAGTCATCTCACTGTAACATTAATAAACTCTATTGAATTAAGTCATATTTCATGTTAACAGATAATTGGTATCTATAGATAATCCTCTTCATTTAGATTAATAATAAAAATGACCATCCTTAAAGCCATAGATCGTTTAGTTAGCGACAAATATATATATACGGATGTTGGATACACTAAACTCCGGTTATAGTGGCCGGATGCTGCCTATACCGTACCGTCTTATCTGTGATGTTTATATATTGTGATGCTCAGCCTATGTAGAAGACACTATATCGTTACCACAGTGTGTGTGTGTGACTCATAGTAGTACTGTGTGTTTACGAGAAGCTCACTCCTTCATGGTTAGTTGCCAAGGTCTGTTGTGTTTAGTTGGTGTTTATGATCGCCTGTGTTGAGATGATGTTTGCCTTGCAGTGGACACGTTCAGGAGGTACGAACTGACGTCACGGCCACCTCACGACTATCACTGACGTCATAACCATCACCAACGTCACGACCACCTCACGATTATCACTGACGTCATAACCATCACCAACGTCACGGCCACCTCACGACTATCACTGACGTCACCTCCACCTCATGACTATCACTGACGCCATGACCACTATCAATGACATCACGGTCACCTCAATGACCACAAAACAGGGTCCGGTTCTTACAAATTTACTGGCTAAATTCCTTTTCTAAGACAGTGAGAGTCGTATTTTACCGGTTCATTAAAGTAACGAGACAGAGAGAGACAGCTGCCAGGACGTAATTGACATTTTTGACGACATTCTACCGTAACTCAGTGAAATTTGTAAAACACCAGAGGGAAAACTTACGACTCTTACATGAATTCAGTTTCTGAGGTCGACGTCACCAAAAAGATTCGTAATGATATTTTTCGCCCTTAAAATAATACAATAAAAAACTAGATATGTGGTAAAGTTTTTAAGTCTAATATCAACACCTTTTGGGGGCGTCAACTGTGCGTGCTGTAGGTCAGGTGAGCCCCTGAAATAATATTCCATGGTCTTCATTTTAGGGAGAAACTTAACACACGAACAAAACCCGGGACGCTGTATTGTGTGTTACGTGTGTACTAGAGTGAGTCTCACTTATTTTAACTCACTGAAAGTTTGGGCATTACTGTGTTAACGATAAATGTTGCACAACGTTCAGTAGACACATCAGCCTCTGACGACACCAGTATCTCCTGAACGAGAGCCTCAAGAGACTTAACAACAACATCATTATACAGCAGGAGTCTTGTAAACACAGCCTGGAGAAATTTGTTCAAGGCTCACTTAATATCTCCCCCCCTCCCCTCCCTTAAGGATGAGAGTAACTTGTCCCCCAGTGTCGGCCTGTGTCTTCCAGCCCACACTTGAAGACCTGTGTGTGTGTCTTTGTTGACTCTCTCTCTCTCTCAGGTTATGCAGCAGCTGTACTGAATATGAGATTTGTTTTATACACACAACAGTACAGCCTTGTGATGCCTACAGACACGCTTCACTCACTAACCTCCTTACACACACACAGATTCATCAACGCCCTCACTAACACCAGCCCTCACTAATGCCTTCACCAACACACAAACACTCACTTATGCCTTCACCAACACACAAAAACTCACTTATGCCTTCACCAACACACAAACACTCACTTATGCCTTCACCAACACACAAACACTCACTTATGCCTTCACCAACACACAGAGACTCTCCAAAACCTCTCACCAACACTCACATACTCACCTAAAACCTCTTGATCGACATTAAAAACTAAAACTCAGCCCGGGAGATATATTTTCAGACCATTCTCTATTCCATGGTCGAGACAGTAAGATAAATACTCCTCTTCAAGAAAAAATAAATAAAAAAAGAGACATCTACACATTTACAGCACATTTAGTATCTACAAGACACCCACGCCCGTTCATAAGTTGCTTTTAACGAGTCACTACATTGTAAACAGTATTTACCTGTAGCGTCGTACGTTCAACCCAAGTCTCTCAATTCAGATTTCAGACATCACTATCTTAGCTTAATGCATCTCATGTGAATACACCTGCCTTCTAATGACTCACTTGTGTGGTAGTCACATATACACATACACAGACACAAATAAATGCCTGTTATTGGGTATATTTTCCAGGTCATATTTACACAGACACAGTTGATACACACACACACACACACACACAGAATACAGTTCCCTCCTCCCCGTGGGGTTAAGACACACACACACACACACACACACACACACGTTCATCATTTCTCACATCACATTTAAGTATCAAATTTATCAGAGTCTTCGAGATAATTTTATTCCACCTTACCTAAGTTAACTAAGAACTGTATTTTTTTCTCTCTCACATAATATTTGGTTTCTTGGTTCTTCTTCCTCAAAGTTTTGGTTTTTTTTTCCTAGATGCCTTGGTTTTATACAGTGTCGTTGGTGGGAAATATTAAGTTTAGAGCCAGAATTGTGATGATGATGATGATGATGATGATGATGATGATGATGATGATGATGATGATGATGAAAAGTTTGTATTGTTAGCTCGTATGTTCACTTGATATTGTAGTTTCATAGAGATGCATATCACTTACAGTTAATTAAAGATCAAGTTTTAAATAATAATTATGTAATTGATGACGAGAAATATAATAATGAAATGATTATGATAAATATGTGATGTTTTATTTGTTGAGTCTTATAGAAGTGTTTTCCTTCTTTCTTTATTAATGTATTACCAATAATACTGACTTTGTTTATAAAAGACTTAAATAACTTTTTGTGGAAGAAATGTTACCCCATGGACATGTCAAGTGGCAAATAATATGAAAAAGGTTAGGACTCCCTTCACTAGTCCATCAATAATTATAAATGATGCAGTATAGCATTTAAATGACCCGGCTAAGAACCATCTACAGTAATGCTAAGTGAACCTGGCACCACTCAGAATCCCTTAACTTGGGAGACTAGGATCTCTGGGACACCATATGACTTTTGTGACCCCTAGGGCCCCTGGAGACACCAAGGACCCCTAGGGCCCCTGGAGACACCAAGGACCCCTAGGGCCTCATGGAGACACCAAGGACCCCTAGGGCCCCTGGAGACACCAAGGACTAGGGGAGACACCAAGGGCCCCTGGAGACACCAAGGACCCCTAGGGCCTCATGGAGACACCAAGGGCCCTAGGACCCCTGGAGGGCCCTAGGACCCCTGGAGACACCAAGGATATATACAGGACCATCCTGTAGGTAACCCAAAAAAGGTTATACAATATACAGGATGGTGACATCTTGATGTCTTCCCCACAGTCTGTTCTATATCACATTGTTGACAATAACCGTCTGATAAAGTTATCTCCTCTTAGTTCACAGCTGAACTCAACTGCTCCTTAATAAATAACTCTAATGGTATTTGGTATTTTTCATGTAGTTTATAATGCTGACCAAAACTTGATTTATTCTACCATAATGTTTAATTTACTGTTGTGTTTGTATACCTGTTGTGTTTGTATACCTGTTGTGTTTGTATACCTGTTGTGTTTGTATACCTGTTGTGTTTGTATACCTGTTGTGTTTGTATACCTGTTGTGTTTGTATACCTGTTGTGTTTGTATACCTGTTGTGTTTGTATACCTGTTGTGTTCTACGATCTGCTGACAACAATGAACCAGAGTAGCCAGCCTGTAGTCGGGCTGTGAGTTATATACTGCTAACATTGTTGAGAACTTTGCTTGTAATAATTAATATTTCGGCTTTATTAAGAGTTCAATACTAAAAATATAATATGATACAATTACTATATTAGTAACTATTTAATTAACTTATAATATAATTCGTTTAGACTAAACAACGATATATCGCTATTACATGACCCGAGGTGGTCAACACACCAGACGTCAACATGAAGAGTGAGAGACATTTAATACTCTTCTAACGAACGGCCCGGGAAGTTGACTGTGTAGTGACTACAACCTCTAAGAATATACATACATTAACAAGTTGTTACGTTAAGGACATCTTAATAATGGCCAAAATATTCACCGTACCCAAGTTGCTGTCGTCAGTTTAAAGGGAATAATGGAAGATCTTCAACGCTCCTGAAAACAGTGGTAATGTGAGACTTATAAGGATTTTGTGTGTTAGAATCATTTAAAATATATTTGTTGATGATGGGCCAACACTGGAACGATGCAGCCAAGAAAATATGAAGTTGTGTTTACGTCAATGTGATGGAGGATGGCAGACGACATTACCTGGGACACTTGAACCAACAGGTGAGTGAAAGTTTACTTAGTTTATGGTAAGGTGTTGTGATAGACAACTGTGTGGCTGATGACGACCACATCCTGTACTTTAATGACCACACACACACTTTATTTCAAAATTAGTTGAGTCAGTATACGTATATACAGAAGATTCCTAACTTCAACTTGAATTCTGACAACTACGATTTAGACCCCTTATTAATGACATTCTGGTTAAAACTTTAACATAAGAACATTAGGAAGATGCAGCGGGCCCATTGGCCCATGGCCCATACAGGGCAGACCCATTTACACCCAACCCCTATTGCTCATATAATAATAATAATAATAATAAACGGTTTATTAATAGAGCTGCAGCCGTTGGCTGAAAATATACAGACTTACATTAGATTTAGACATAATGATATAATATGCATTGAATACATTTACAGGGCTGTACAGTACATAAATCAGGAGTTGTTTATTATTTTAACAATAGATGGGATGGTGCTGTTCTTATTTCTATCGGTGTGGGCTCTTATGGGCTGAATTTTGTTGTAGTGGCGGACTGCGCGAGGTGGGTGGGGGGCTGCAGGTGGCAGGAGGTGGCGATGGCGAGGGTGGTGCAGTAGTCCACGGCCAAACCTTTCCAGTGCTTGGTGGTGGAGGTCACCGAGGGATGGCATTTCCAGGGTGGAGAGAGCGTTGGTGTAGCTGGAGTATTCTGCGCCGAGCATGACTCTGCGCCGAGCATGATTCTGCAGGCCCTTTTCTGTACCTTCTCTAGCTGACGTTGTTTGAAGCTCTCCAGCGTTTTGTGTTTTCTTTTAAGATCATTTAAATTTTCATTATGTGTTTCTGTTGTCATTTCCTTTTATTTAGTAACCGTAATTTAAATATCCTGAGGTGGCATGTTTGGAACATTTTTACATTTAAACCTGATTATATATTATAGTATACTATTTTATTTAACTGATGAGGACTGCAGTTGTCAGTAGAAATGATTTAATTTTATTGCAAATTTTAGTTTTATGATTCACCTGTACTTCATCAAAGCATAGCAGTGGCGAGGTGTTGGACAACTCGTACTCAACAGAACATGTCAAGTTGTAAACAATTATAAGAGAACTCGTACCAGCTGTGACACATTTTGATTTATACACTTCTAAACTGTTTTCCCAATCTATGGGATGATTATTGTTCCTTATATGAACGAAAATGGCACTCCTTTCAGATGCTGTGTATGGGAAACAGCAGATTCAGGTATGTGCTTATTTTAATTCTAGTAACTAACTTTCTAAAGTTAATAAAGCAGCAAAGGCAAATATACGGCTGGTGACCGTCAGTGGTTAAGTAATTATGAGTTTTTTTAAAAGAGAGTTTTGGTTAAACTGCACTTTTGGACAATACCCCTAGTAGTTGAGCAATGTGTTTTTCTGATTGTTTAGACAATTTTAAGACACTTTTCTTCGATGATGATTCCGGTACATTTAAGTAATTTGCGAGGGATACGTTATAAAAGAAGTGTCTTAAAATTATCTAAACAATCGGAAAAACACATTGCTCAACTCGAGATCCATATTGTGCGAAACTGCGGTTATACCACAGTTTTGTTCACTGATTATGCTTTTCATTCTATTAATTTTCTTGTGCAAATGCTTAGTATTCTAGATATAGGCGAGTTAAGATATAGGTTAGGGTAGGTTAGGTCAGGTCAGGTCAGGTCAGGTCAGGTCAGGTTAGGTCAGGTCAGGTTAGGTCAGGTCAGGTTAGGTCAGGTCAGGTCAGGTCAGGTTATATTAGGTTTGGTTAGGTTAGTACATGATTACCCTCATTTTAATCTTTTCCCCCAACATAATACAATATTCCCTAATGTAATCAGTGAAAATTGGGGTGAAATTTCAGTCGTGCACCGGTCTTTCTCTCGCTGTTATTAATGTGTTTTTCGTGATGTTTAGACAATTCTAAGAACTTTTTTCCTATGACATTTCCGCCGTAAATTAACGATAACCGAGATATAATTTTTTCAATATTATTAGATTTGGTCAGTTAAAAAAAAGTCATGTATTGTGAGCCTGTGTTAGGAGTTTATGAAGATGAAAATAATGGGGTCATTTCTGAGAACAGCACCACCAGAAGGAGTTGTTCGATTTGATTAATTTTTCCACAGATGTTATAATTATTATAGTAAGTATTTTAAACGAGGCTACATTTACTAGAACCTAATAGAACCTGACCTAACCAACCAAAGAAACCTACCAAACCTTACCTAACTTCTAGCTGGGGAAGCTCTGTTCCCCGAACTTCTTGCCATATTAAGCAGAAAGTTCTTACTTTGATATCTGGTACCAATAAAAGCAACTTTCTTAATGTGTCATGGTGTCTTAAACTACAATTTAATCAGTCAGTTGAAAGCACATAGCCACACACATTTATGGTAACTTTAGGTTACACAGTAGTTACAGGACTGTCACTCTGCCAACACGGGAGCAAATACCTTTTTACCCCTGCATTTTCCTTCCATAGTAATTGATATCGTGCTTGAACAATTACTTTGTGTTTGTAATTATACATTTTCAACTGCAGTTGTGACAGAATTTAAAGATCAATTATACAGAGTACTCTCCTCATATCTGTGGGTTGGCGACTACAGCCCAAGAACCTTTAGAGTGGAGGACTCCTCCACACTAAAGGTTCTTGGGCTGTTTTTACCAATCCTCTGAGGTTATGTATCTCTCTGGGAACCCAGTTAGTAATTTATTTCATCCATCCCAGTCTCTGCCTTTCCTTGGCCCTCCTATCCTCAACTTTGCCCATTAATATTTGTCATTATTCCTTCATCCCTAATTATATGACCAAGTATCTCATTTTTCTTTTTCTCTACATTTCAAGTATTTCTCTTGAAGTTCTTAATTTGTTTTTCTCTCAGTGTAGCCTTTTCTAAGCATTCTCCTATAACACCACTATTAAAAGGCCTCCAACTTCTGTATAGCATCTGCTGAAAATGTCCACAAGTTAGGATGTTAGATTAGGCTAGGTCAGGTTCAAATAGGTTCTGTATAATCTTGCTTCCATTTTCGTTTTCAGTGTCATGCAAATAATATCTCCAGGAATTTTGGTAACTGTCTCCTCCACCTTTATCAATAATATTTGAAAGTGTTTCATCTTAATTAGTTATAATACTCGTACAGTATTACCTTTTCTAAAAAAAAAAGATTGCCATCAAGAATAATATGAATCTGTGATAGTCATCTCAAAGTTTTATGTTTAATTCTTTCACTTCATTATCAGCACAGCAGGTGTGGGTGGTGATGAATCATGTTAAATCATTCTATGTATTTCAATGGTAAATTTAAGGTACAGTATGGGACTGCAGCCCTAAAACATACACTCAAAATTCCTGGACCCTTAACTGCACATTACAGATCTGTGGCTAACTTTGCTGTGCACAAAATATTTTGGTCTTTAAATTTTAAACTTACCTTATAAAACTTTTAGCGTGTATACAAATTAAAAGGAAAACACAGTATAAGCCTGAAAGGTCTCCACCCCCCCCACACCAAGTTTACTGCACCTTGTAATAGTGGGATCACCTGATGAATCTCCACCCTAGTTTATTTCACCTTAACATTGACCACCCAATGCTAACCTAACCTAACCTCATCCCCACAAATAGCATTCAGGTGGTTAATCTTTAGGTGTAATAAGTTGGAGTGGAGATCCTTCATGGGATATGAGCAAACCAATACCAGTACTGTACTGTGCAGTGTCCCAGTAACTAATGGAAGTTTTTCCTCTGTATCGCAAAGAATATTCCATATTTTTTTAGTTCCTTCAATGTGAATTTCATTACTCAAGCTTCTGTACTTTGAGGGATGCCTGTACAGTATTTCACTAACTCACTTTTTATTGTGACAGATGAAGGCGAGGTCGGGGAAGTAGACTGAGTGGACCGACCAACAAAGATGCATTAGAGAAACTGTCAAAAGTTCACCCACTTCCTTCACTCATCCTGCAGTGGCCCAAGATAAACTCATTTCTTATTAAGGTAAAACATATACCATGCCACGTCCAGTATGTTCACTTGTGTGTTGTTACATGTTTTCCAGAAGGTTGGTTAAATGCAGTACCTCTTCTTTAACATATTTATTAGACATCTCTACATTCTCTCCATATTTACACCTATCTTACACACACACACACCTCATCTGTACACTTCCCTGTATCCAGTACCTTTTAAAAACTTGTCTTCATTTGATATTACCATTTAAAAGCATAATAACAACTGAACACTCCAGGACACTTACTTTCCTATATGATTGCTGGAGCTTTGGTGGGTGGAGAGAGGCACTGCACTTTGGCTACTCTGACATTCTTAACATTAAAGTAGAAATATGTACAGTACTGTACAGTATTACACTAAACTTAAATTTACTTTACTTTACCTGTACTGTAGTGTATTGTACTGTACTGTACTGTGCTGTACTGTACTGTACTGTACTGTACTGTACTGTACTGTACTGTACTGTACTGTATTGTACTAACTATATAATCACTACAATCAGTGCAAGACGAAGGGCTGTATTAAGACATGCTGAAGCCCTAAGCTATGTCAACATTTAGAGGCTCCATACCTCAAAAAAAGTATACAGTACCTTCTTGTGGTGCTGTATACAGTACTGTACCGTACCTGGTGTTTGCAGTCAAGCAAAAAACACTTTCTTCTTTACAGCTACCAAACTACAGTACATCAAAACCAGTAATAGTGTAAAACAATTCATAGCTAAACGTCAAAAATACATAACAGATGAAGCTGTTTCTGTATTAACCCCAATATATTATATTGTTAAATTGATCTGCCAACCTCGGTTAGTCCAAGTGCAATGTATTGCTTGTTAAATTTATCAGAAAACTTTCACTATTTCTCCTGTAGACATACTATTACTGATGAGAGACCTAGCTTAAGCAAAGTACCCTACTATAAATAAGTATCTGATGGCTTTGCCAATTAGTAAGTCTGTGAATCTATCTATTTATCATTAAATCTATATAACTATTTAAATCATCTAACCTTACAGAAGTGAAGAACAAGGGACAGACTGATGACAGAGGCTACATCATCACCACCAGATGACAGAGGCTACATCACCACCACCAGATGACAGAGGCTGCATCACCACCAGCACCAGATGACAGAGGTTACATCACCACCACCACCAGATGACTGAGGCTACATCACCACCACCACCAGATGACTGAGGCTACATCACCACCACCAGATGACTGAGGCTACATCACCACCAGCACCAGATGACAGAAGGCTACATCACCACCATCAGATGACAGAGGCTACATCACCACCACCAGATGACTGAGGCTACATCACCACCACCAGATGACAGAGGCTACATCACCACCACCAGATGACTGAGGCTACATCACCACCATCAGATGACAGAGGCTACATCACCACCACCAGATGACTGAGGCTACATCACCACCAGCACCAGATGACAGAGGGCTACATCACCACCAACACCAGATAGCTGGAGCTACTGTAGTATGTGGTCTACAGAGCTGGAGCTACTATAGTATAGTATGCAGTCTACAGAGCTGGAGCCATTGTAGTAGGTCTACAGAGCTGGAGCTACTAGAGTCTACAGAGCTGGAGCTACTGTAGTATGTAGCCCAGCAGAGCTGGAGCTACTGTAGTAGTGGTCTACAGAGCTGGGAGTCTGAGTAGTCTACAGAGCTGGGGAGTAGTGATCCACCTGGCTCACACTGTTCACTGGAGTCTACAAGAGCCGGGAGCTCACTGTGGCTGGAGCCATCCAGTCATGTGGTTGTCGAGCTGGGAGTTGTCAGGAGTTGTGAGCTGTAGTTCACAGAGCTGGAGCCACTATAGAGAGTTTACAGAGCTGGAGTGGTTCACAGAGCTGGAGCCACTGTAGCATGTGGCTCAGTATGAGCCAGGTTCACGACAGCACATTGTGCCATCCACAACATAACACACCCCAGGCCAGGCAGGTTCATGGATGCTGTGGTGTAAATATCCTGAAGACACAACCTGGCTCGGGGACCACGCCTGTAGACCACATACCACAGCAGTCTAGCTCTGTAGACTGCATACTATACTATAGTAGCTCCAGCCTGCAGACCCACATACCATAGCAGCTCCAGCTCTGCATCTCACACACACAGCAGCTCCAGCCTGCAGACTGCATACTATAGCAGCTCCAGCTCTGTAGACCACATACTACAGCAGCTCCAGCTCTGCAGACCACACACAGCAGCTCCAGCTCTGTAGACTGCATACTATACTATAGTAGCCCAGCTCTGTAGACCACATACTATAGCTCCAGCTCTGTAGACCACATACTACAGTAGCTCCAGCCTGTAGACTGCACACAGCAGTAGCTCCAGCCCCAGACCACATACTACAGCAGCTCCAGCTCTGTGCATCACATACTACAGTAGCTCCAGCCTGTGGACCACATACCAAGGCAGCAGCTCCAGCCTTGCAGACTGCATACCATACTATAGTAGCTCCAGCCTGTAACCACATACCACAGTAGCTCCAGCTCTGTGAGACCACATACCACAGTAAAGCTCCAGCCCCCAGACCACACACTGCCAGTAGCTCCAGCCTGTGACCACATACCATAGTAGCTCCAGCCGAGAGACCACACACTACAGCAGCTCCAGCTCCAGAATGACTGCATACTATACCATAGTAGCTCCAGCCTCCAGAGACCACATACCATAGTAGCTCCAGCCCAGACCACACACTGCCAGTGCAGCTCCGCAGCTCTGTAGACTGCATACTATAATATAGTAGCCCAGCCTGCAGATCACATACTATAGCTCCAGCCTTGCAGACCACATACTACAGTAGCTCCAGCTCTGTAGACTGCATACCATACTATAGTAGCTCCAGCCTGTAGACTGCATATTATAGAAGCTCCACTCTGTAGACTGCATTATAGAAGTCCAGCCCTGTAGACTGCATATTATAGAAGCTCCAGCTCTGTTGTAGACTGGCTATTATAGAAGCTCCAGCCTGCAGACAGCATATTATAAGCTCCAGCCTGTAGACTGCATATTATAGAAGCTCCAGCCTGTAGACCGGCTATTATAGAAGCTCCAACTCTGTAGACTGCATATTATAGGAAACCCAGTTCTGCAGACCTGCATACCATTGTAGCTCCAGCTCTGTGGACCACACACTATAGTAGCTCCAGCCTCAGACCACATACTACAGTAGCCCAGCTCTGTGGTAGACCACATACTACAGTATTCCAGCCTGTAGACCACATACAGCAGCTCCAGCCTGTAGAGACCACATACCACAGTAGCTCCAGCCTCTGTAGACTGCATACTATACTATAGTAGCCCAGCTCTGCAGAATTACATACTATAGTAGCTCCAGCTCTGTAGACTGCATACTATACTATAGTAGCTCCAGCCTGTAGACTGCATATTATAGAAGCCCAATTCTGTAGACCGTATTATTACAGAAGCCCAGCCTCCAGACTGCATATTACAGAAGCCCAGCCTGTAGAGACTGCATATTATAGAAGCTCCAGCTCTGTAGACAGTATAATATAGAAGCCCAGCTCTGTAGACTGCATATTATAGAAGCTCCAGCCTCTGTAGACTGCATATTATAGAAGCTCCAACTCTGTAGACTGCATATTATAGAAGCCCAGCTCTGTAGACTGCATAATATAGAAACCCAGCTCTGTAGACTGCATATTATAGAAGCTCGAGCCTCTGTAGCCTGCATACTATAGAAGCTCCAGCCTGTAGACTGCATATTACAGAGCTCAAGCTCTGCAGACCGCATACCAGAAGCTCCAGCCCTGTGGCAGACTGCATACCATACCATAGTAGCTCCAGCCTGTAGACTGCATATTATAGAAGCCTAGCTCTGTAGACTGCATACTATACTATAGTAGCTCCAGCTCTGTAGACTGCATACTATAGAAGCTCCAGCTCTGTAGACTGCATACTATACTATAAAGTAGCTCCAGCTCTGTAGACTGCATATTATAGGAATCTCCAGCTCTGTAGACCGCATATTATAGAAGCTCCAGCTCTGTTGACTGTATATTACAGAAGCCCAGCTCTGTAGACTGCATATTATAGAAGCTCCAGCTCTGTAGACTGCATATTATAGAAGCCCAGCCTATAGACTGCATATTATAGATGCTCCAGCCTGGGTAGACTGCATATTACAGAAGCTCCAGCCTGTAGACCTAATAGAAGCCTAGCTCTGTAGACTGCATATTAGAAGCCCAGCCTGGGTAGACTGCATACACAGAAGCCCAGCTGTGTAGACTGCATATTATAGAGGCTCCAGCTCTGTACTTGGCTACCTGCAGAAGCCCAGCTCTGTAGACTGCATATTATAGAAGCTCCAGCTCTGTAGGACTGCATATTATAGAAGCTCCAGCCTGCAGACTGCATATTATAGAAGCCCAGCTCTGTAGACTGCATATTATAGAAGCTCCAGCTCTGTGGTACCTGCATACTATAGAAGCCCAGCTCTGTAGACTGCATATTATAGAAGCCCAGCTCTGTAGACTGCATATTATAGAAGCTCCAGCTCTGTAGACTGCATATACAGAAGCCCAGCCTGTAGACTGCATATTATAGAAGCCCAGCCTGTAGACCGTATACTATAGAAGCTCCAGCTCTGTAGACTGCATAGCTATAGTAGCTCCAGCTCTGTAGACCGTATATTATAGAAGCTCCAGCTCTGTAGACTGCATACAGTACTAGGAAGCTCCAGCCTGTAGACTGCATATTATAGAAGCCCAGCTCTGCAGAGACTGCATACTACAGGCTCCAGCTCTTGCAGACTGCATATTACAGAAGCTCCAGCCTGTAGACTGCATATTGGTAGCTCCAGCTCTGCAGACTGCATATTACAGAAGCCCAGCTCTAGACTGCATATATCAGAAGCTCCAGCCTGTAGACTGCATACTACAGAAGCCCAGCTCTGTAGACTGCATATTATAGAAGCCCAGCCTGCAGACTGCATATTACAGAAGCTCCAGCCTGTAGACTGCATATTGCAGAAGCTCCAGCTCTGCAGACTGCATATTATAGAAGCTCCAGCTCTGTAGAGACTGCATATTATAGAAGCCCAGCTCTGTAGACTGCATACTATAGAAGCAACAGCTCTGTAGACTGCATATTATAGAAGCCCAGCTCTGTAGACTGCATAATATGTAGCTCCCAGCTCTGCAGACTGCATACCATATGGTGCCCAGCCTGGGTAGACCCATATAGGCTTCTAGCTCTGTAGACTGCATATTATAGAAGCTCCAGCCTCTGTAGACTGCATATTATAGAAGCTCCAGCTCTGTAGACCGCATATTATAGAAGCTTCTAGGCTCTGTAGACTGCATATTATGAAGCCCTCCCAGCCTGTAGACTGCATATTATAGAAGCTCCAGCTCTTGTAGACTGCATATTATAGAAGCCCAGCCTCATAGACTGCACATTATAGAAGCCCAGCCCAGACTGCATACAGGAAGCTCCAGCTCTTGCAGAGACTGCATATTACAGAAGCTCCAGCCCTGCAGACTGCATAATATAGAAGCCCAGCTCTGTAGACTGCATATTATAGAAGCTCCAGCTCTATAGGACTGCATACATTACAGAAGCTCCAGCTCTGTAGACTGCATACATATAGAAGCCCAGCTCTGTAGACCGTATATTATGGGTAGCTCCAGCCTGCAGACTGCATATTACAGGCTCCAGCTCCTGTAGACCGCATATTACAGAAGCCCAGCCCTGTAGACCGCATATTAAGGTAGCTCCAGCCTGCAGACTGCATATAGGCAGAAGCTCCAGCTCTGCAGACTGTATACCGTAGCTCCAGCCTGGTAGACTGCATACTAAAGAAGCCAACAGCCTGTAGACCGTATACATGACAGAAGCCACAGCTCTGTAAACCGCATAGTAGCTCCAGCCTGCAGACCACATACCACAGCAACACCTAGCCTGTATATCACATACACAGCAGTCTGCAGCTCTGCAGACCACACAGCACAGCAGCACCCCAGCCTGCAGACCACATCACAGTGCAGAAGCCCAGCCTGCAGACCCCATGCCACAGCAGCACCAGCCTGCAGACCACATGCTACAGTAGCACCTGCACTTGCAGACCACATATTAAGTAGTAGCTCCAGC